AATGTCAGGGACCTAACAATTGCCAAACCAGATCACAACCCCACCTCCATGAGTCATGGGCATACCATTGCCATGATAGCCACCACCCACTACCACCCCACGGTGGTGTAACCACGCCATGGCGATGTGATGTAACGTCGTGATTGGAAGACAGGACCTGATTCGCCGGGGTTTGAACAAACACAGATCTCCCCTGAACATGGAGCACGCTAGGAAAAGCTGAGTGGAAAACCCCTGGAAAAATAGTGAGGAAACAACTGGAACCAATCCATCCTGTTAAAGAGAGAAAGGAGACGGAGAGATGTGTACTAGCACCAAAGCGTCATGCTTGTTCCAGACATACCAGTGATACCAGAAACATGAGCGCTGGGTAAAGCTTCATGGAAAAGTACTAAAACAAGCTAGAAGGCAAATGGAACCAATTCATTACATCAAAGAGAGCACAGTGGGGAACAGAGCACAGAGACAGACTCTAAATCAGGTACTCTGCTTGTTACAGGGCCTTAAGAGATACCAGCTTTACACCAACATATCAGTTACACACATGTAGGGCCTTGCTTTTGTAACCCTCTGAAGCTTGATGATGGTCATTTCACCCATTTGATCCAAACCCAGACTGGTAAGACTGGACCAAAAACTGAGTCGAGGAAGCATTTGGATTGAGATTATCATGGGGAGTAGTAGGTCCTGAGACTAGATAGAAAACAATCAGCACGTCAAAAGTGGTTTAAAGGTGGAGTATGTTGTTTTTTTCTCTGTTGTTTGTTCCAATAAATCGTCTCATATGTTGCTACCACTAGATGGAGCCATTCACAGAACATATACAATGAACATATATGATAACAATTAAAGCTCCTGTGGGGAACTTGAGTTTTGTGCAACATTTGGCACCTCCCTTTTCAAACCTTGCACTCAGCTAGCCAGACTACTGATTTTTTTACCAAAAGAAAAAGTCACCCTGTAGACTTTTGACAGTCAAACTTATCATTTACTGTAATTTTTGTCATGCAGAAACTGTGAAAACAGGGCTGTAACTTCAGCTCCTTGGCTGACACCTACCTCCTCGCACCAGCTTCAGGCATCAAAAAAAAAAGTCAGCAGTCTTACAGCTGATGGTTTTGTTTGCTTCCAGATATCTTAAGAAAGCATCATAATAGAAAAATCCCCATAGAAGCTTTAAAGTTAGGATGGGACTGGGTTTGGCTTTACAAGACGGGGCTCAATCTTATCCTGTTTTTAAAATGGGTCTTTGTAAACAGAGTATGGTAGAGACAGGCTTTTTGTGGAGCATCTTGGGAGTTTACCAGATGTAAATCGCTGTTATATTGATAAAGATGAATGATTATAGCTCATGTAAGTGTTTGAGGATAACAACAGCTGATCAAATCCTGAACCAGATCCAGCTTTCTTGTCTTTTTTTTTCCAGACGTGTTTACACTCTCCTGTCTTTTCCACAGAGATGCACAACTCTGGGCATGCATGCACTCACCACAGACACAGGTAAGGTAAGCGTTTGATGGTCCATCCAGCTGCCTCTGCAGATCTCTAAGGAAAAAGCGAACGAGGGGGGGAGTCGGATAAAGAGAGGTAGACAAAGAGGCAAAGACAGAGAGAGAGAGAGAGAGAGAGAGAGAGAGAGAGGCAGAAAACGAGAGGCATGCCTGCTCATGTTGGTGTGCAGAGGGCTTTGGGTTGACTCCTTTGAACTTATGATGAGCCAAATTCCATCCTCACATCTCTGGGAGGAAGCGCCTCACATGCGCACAGATGCACACACGCATACACTAACATATGCACGCACCATCATGTTCCATCTGAGGCCTCCACGCTGCCAGACGCTGGTTATCATCTGTCACCTGGTGTCTCAGACGAACATTTCAGCAAACATATGCACACATGCGCTCGCGTAGACACAACATACACGCATAAATGCACGCATAAACACACATGCGTCCATGTAAGAGTGGAGCTGAGGGATAATTAACATCTAGAGAAACCACACCGAAGACATGGCTGCAATCCAACAATGTCTTTCTCCGCTTTCGCTTCTTTGCTTTCTTTGTGCTATAAGAATATACAGTACAAACTATCATATGGCTGGACACATTCCACGCACTTCAAAGACCTCTGGTGAACTGAGTGTGCATGATTACAGGGAGGGCTCGCTCTGAAGGGCCTCAGAGAGAGAAAAAAGTCTAAGAGAGAGAGAGAAAAGGGGAGAGAGAGAGAAAGCAGCTGGGTTGGTGGTAAACATCTGGTGCTGGTGGAGGCCTGGCTCTGACGTTCAGGGGAAATAGCTGCAACACTGTTCCAGGATCTGCTCCCTGCAATTGCTCCTCCCTGCAGATCTGATCCAATGTGACTCTCTGGCTTTAAAGGGCCAAATAAAATCACTCAAAGTATTCTCACCCTCCTGTCTTTAGCGGGTTTATTTGAATCAACACGGCTTTGGTGGTACACTGACGCCTTCAAGTACTCTGTTGTGATTGTGTAAAATCCTGGGAAACAGCATCCTCAGATTGACTTACAGCCCCCGTTGCACAACTATTCACTTGTCACTTGTTGAAACTTTTCAAAGCCCTTCCCCAACTCATCTGTTTCTCTTTATTGTTTTCCAGATCAACAACAAATGCAGAATTCACATAGAATACAATAGAAATGCGAACATCCATGGGGCCGAGATCATCCTGCTGGTGAAGATCATGTGATATGATTGAAAGCTTCGGAGCAGCGACCTCACAATGGAGCCACGAAATGTGAATATCTGGTTCCTCTCTTCACAGCATGTAGAGAGGAACCACTATTCTTAAGAAATAAAGCAATAAAAATGACAGTTTACAGCCAGGGAAGAGCTCACTTCTCTGTCCTCACACACTGTACAGATACTATAGTGAAGATAGTAAAATTACACCTTTTGCACCAAATCTTTGTCTCTTGATCGGCCGGCTGAACGTCAAATTAAGTCAGCTGTTATGATCCTGATCACTAAGCCTTAACAAGACTAAAGTCATGTAATATGGGCGATGAGTTCTGTGATTGGTCTGGTTGGCAGCAATATCATTGAATAATTAAATAATTAATTGAAGCCTGATCAACTGCAGCACAACATGTATCAGGCTCAACTCTACGGTGGCCGAGAACCGCCACTGCTGCAAATAAAAAAAAGAATGCAAAAAAAGAAGTCACAACGGAAGTTACCGATGCAGATAAAAAACCCACAATGGAAGTTAACGAGGCAAAAATAAAAGTGGCGATGGAAAAAAAAAAGTTACTGATTGGGAAAATAAAAGGATGCAAATAAAAAAAATGGAATGGAATCGATATGTAGTTGAACAGAAGCTAACACTTCACCGGCATCATCGAGATCAACTTCATATCGACTCAGGCGGAACAAGGCCTAACCACATTGAAAAGCACACGAAGCGAAATTAAACAATAATCTTTCCACTTACCTATTTGCTCGTCTTTTTGCCGTCGTCTTCTGTGCCTAGATCGTAAAACACCAGTGTATCATCACTATTGTTGTGGCTTTTTTACCTGCAACCCTTTTTTTTTTCTTAGTAACTTTTTTTTTTGCATCACCACTTTTTTAGTGTCATTAACTCCGTCATGGAGTTAGTTTAATTTATTTTTTATCTGCACCCTTTTTTTTTAAATTATTTGCAGCGGACTTTGGTCTTTTATTTATGTATTTTTGCATCACCATTTTTTTGTGTCTTTAACTCCGTTGTATTTTTAAAAAAAAAAAATTTATCTGCACTCCTTTTTTTTAATTATTTACAGCGGGCTTTGTTTTTTTTTTTTTTTTTTTTTTGCATTCTTTTTTATTTGCAGCAGTGTCAGTTCTCGGCCAACATTCAACTCAAATGTATTATCCCCAGAATCTGTTGCCATGGTTTCCTGCACACAAATGATGCTACATAGTGGGACCAGAAACAGGTGACATGACGAGCATAAACGTCACACTGAAGACTCGCAGTTCGGTGGAGTGTTGCAGAGTTGCATGGACACACCTTCTCAAAAATATGTAGTGCTCATGACGGTGTAGACATCCAAGACGTGGGTACGGTGTAGGTGTGGCGCAGAAGCATAAACCAGACTTCAGTGACAGGTTAAAGCTCCTGTGAGGAACTTCCAGTTTGTGTTGATTTGGCGCCCCCTGTGGAGAGGAAGGGACCTCTTTTTCTTTCCTGGTTTTGTTATGAACATATTTAAGTTGTGAAACTCAGTCTTATGTGTCACATATAGAAAATGTAGCCCATGACAGATTATATATATATATATATATATATATATATATATATATATATATATATATAGATAGATAGATAGATAGATAATAATACAATCAAATGTAATATATCCAGCATTTCTGCAGCTCCACAGCTCCACGGTGTGTGTATTTTGGGTGTAAGAGCGCTGCTTTTATTCTCGCCACATCAGTCGCCCCTGAAGGAAGATTAGAGTTTATTTAAATGACCTGACTTTGGTTTGATTCCACGCTGTCCTGATCCACAGCCATTTTTTTTCCTCTTCTGGCTTAGAAATACACCAGTGGCTGTTTTTTAGTGCAGTTACAGGAATGTGTGTGCATATGTGTGTGTGTTTGAGAGAGAGAGAGTGAGAGGGTGTGTGTGTTTAAAGAGAAATCTAGGGGCAATGAGTGTATTTGGCTGAGTCTGCTTGCATGACATACAGAGAGAAAGAAGTTAGAAACTGCTGGAGACAAACAGGTATGCAATAGAGGCTCATTAAAAGCTCGTGTTTGTGTTGTTGGTTCTGTTAATATCATGACACTTGATTTTAAAAATTTCAAAAATGATCTGAAAAGAGCTTAAAGTCAAACAACCTAAAGCTTTGCCCTGCATGCTGATGTATTTCTGTCTATATTGACTCTGGAAATCAAATCCAAATGAGGATCTGGTTTGTGAAGTTTATAATTAACTTTTGTCCTTTTTTTTCTGCTTTGTGCAAACAAACTCCGAAGTCATCGGGGACGATCCTTTATCATCAATTCTTTCATTTTAGGGGGAAAACATGCAAAGTTATGCAACATGTGTTCCTCTTCAACTTTACAATGCTCCAGTAATAATATAGTTAGAGCCCTTGCCTGAAATGATTGGTATGTAGGTGTGTAATAGAAGCATTTAAACCTTTGCACTTGGTGCTGAAACACTTGGCAGCTGTAATTCTCTGATCCTGACATGTACCTGTTGGCATTAATGTCCTAAGATCAAGCGCTGACAGGCCCAAATAATTATCTCACAGATAAAAATATTCTGTGCATACATGTGCGAGTGCTGTAATACATCCAGTCAGAGGAAGCCGGGTCAATAAACTCAACAACTGGAGATGCAGACTTCATCGTCTGACGGACACGTGCACGCATGTGGCCTTTTTGGGTCTTTAAAGTGAGATCCAATCTAGAGGCAGTTTTGTCTTTTTGTCTTTTTCAGCTTTTAACTTATTTTTTAATCAATATAAATTTTATTTTTGTGGCATTTTTGCTTTTATTTGGAAAAGACAGGACAGTGGATAGAGTAGGAAATAGGGAGATCTATCTATCTATCTATCTATCTATCTATCTATCTATCTATCTATCTATCTATCTATCTATCTATCTATCTATCTATCTATCTTGACACAAGTTTTTAAGACTGTACAGATATCTATTTTTGGGGGAGAAGAAACGGTCTGCTGGTAGACTGTCATAAAGGTCTGGAGACAATTGCTATGTAATGAATAACTCAATAAATTTAAACATGACTTTAATCATTTAATGATTTTATTATAAAGACAGAGATAGCCTATCTATCTATCTATCTATCTATCTATCTACCTACCTACCTACCTACCTACCTACCTACCCACCTACCTACCTACCTACCTACCTACCTACCCACCTACCTACCTACATATCTATCTATCTATCTATCTATCTATCTATCTATCTATCTATCTATCTATCTATCTATCTATCTTTGACTATCTTTGGCTCACTTGAATCGTAAAACCAATCATGCTTTAGCAATATTGTTCTGACTTTCATGCCAGTAAATCTTATTTGAATTGAATTGAATATGGACACTCAAATCTAATTTCATGTTTCCTGACAATAGTACTATGAGTGCTGATGTTTGATTTAATGTAGCTCTAAATCTAAACTGAATTCAGACAGGGTCCACATTTGTGAAGTAGATAAAATCAGATAGATGTTTCACAGATTTGGCCCGTATAAGCTTCACATTCAGCTTGGATGTCATGGATTATAAATGTGCCTCTTTAACTCATGTTTGTTTTCTTCTGTGTCTATATATACATAATCCAACTTTGTTTTTTAAATTAATTTTTCTATACATAGAGCCCAGGTTATGATGTTTCAATCAAATGCTCCGTTGTCTGACATGTGACCCTTGGACCCGTCAGCTGAGGGATGTTGAGTGTCACTGCAGCCACCAGAGGGACTTTGGCCTGTTGTCTAGTTGTTTTCGTGGCACTGAAACAGAGCTTTGATACACATGACACCCTCAAAGACCGCTATAGATAGACTGTCATGTTACATCAGTAGGAGAGCTGTTTTTCAGCTTCGTTGACATTTAGATGTTTGCTGGGATTTTTTTTTTTTGTGATTGCTGCAACGGTTGGTAATTTGTAAGTGACCAGAGAAGGCACGGTGACACAGGTCAGGGCAGGACATTGTAGGAGGATTTTTAGTGTCACATGAAGATAAAAATAACAAAAAATAATTGGATCCAGCTTGTTTTTTTGTTTGCTGGAGAGTGCAGCCACCTTTTTGGACTGAAAAGGACAAAAAGTCTCCTAAAAAACGACACTTGTTATGCAATCCACTCAGGTTTAAAATCTAGTTCACTTTGACCCTGTTTCATATTTTATGAAATGTTGGAATTTTAAGTGCCAAAACAAGATTTATACTGCATCTTTATGACTGTGTGACTCTCTTGTGGTCATCACAAAAACAACAATAAAGTGACATAATAAGTGAGGCTGAGTCTCAGTTAAAGGTGAGGAAAAGTTCACTCTGGGAGAAACAAGGTGAGGAAAATAGTTAAAGGATTGCAGGATATTCTCCTGAGTGTCATAGCTATCATTTACAGTCGGTATTAGTCGGTTTTAGTCCAAGATCTAAAACCAGCACTGGTGAGATGGTCATGATCTTCAGGCTTCGTAGTGGAAATCACTATATGGGTTCAAATAATGCTTCAAAAATCAGCCTGTGAACAAAGTTTATTGCTGTGTCCATAAATGCCGGATAAAACTTTAGCATGCAAAGAAAAAAACAGACTTGATCCAGAAACGCTGGTGACTTGTATCTATCTCTTTAAGATAAGCTGAGGCTATTTGAAAAACTGAACAGTGGTCCAGCAAATTAAGATCTGACATTTATTTTTTAGGAATTCTTGGATGCTACATCCCCTGCTCCAAAAGAAAAGACAAGTCACCACTCGACTTTTTATCCACGGTTTACACCCGACTTTATCTCATTGGTAGAAAAGTCAAAAAGAAACTGTGGTACAAAAGTATGACAAAAAAGACCCTAAACCTAGGTAAAAATGGGAAAACATTTCTACTTTTAGTTCCCTTGATTTCCAGATTTCCATGTTTCCAGAGTGTGGTTAAAAGAATTTCTTTTATAAGTTGTAGTTTTGGCTGCTTTTATCCATTTTGTCATTTTCACACTGTTACAAAACTGTTGCAGCAGCTTTTAAGTCTGTTTTGACTTATTTTTATCTACATTTTAAAAGCAAGTATCTATGCTAAAAGATGTAGAAGTGCTGAACGATAAATTCAGAATTTGGACCAACATATGCTGCAGTCCAAGCATGCATTTCTCTTGGATGTCCTATATATACAACAAGAAGGTGACTAACTAAATTTTTGGATGTCATTTAACAGTATAACTCCTTGGTAGATAAGTCCAGGTAAGAAACTGTCCCAACCTGTCGCCTATTTGCTAAACAAAAGTATGATAAAAACAACCTAAACTCGTGTAAAAATAGGAAAACATATCACCTACTAGTTCCACTGATTTTCAAATGTGTGGTTAAAAGAAAAGGTGACGCAACACAAGTGGTTAACAAGCTGGTTTGAAACATGTTGCTGGCATGAAGATGTAGTTTTCATAGGTCTATTAATAGATTTGGAAACAATATTTCACAGCTTTTTTTCTTTTTACACAATTTTCAATCAAATTTAGAGTTAGCATGATATGCAAACCACAAATTTCTGTTTCTATCATAATTCTACAGTGACCTAACTCCTGTGGATGTCAAACAAATTGATAAAAACTTTAAGATATTTGTTCAGAAATGATTGAAAAGTCTTTTATAGGTTGTAGTTTTGGCTGCTCATCCTCATTTTGTCATTTTCACACTGTTACAAAACTGTTGCAGCAGCTTTTAGGTCTGTTTTGACTTCTTTTCTGCGTGTGCACCGTGCATTACGGTAAAGAGGCGGGCTCTGACCTACATGTGCGTCGCGTTTTGATTGACATGGCGGAGTCTCGCAGTACGCGTCGCGCCGCGCCAGCAGACAGTCCGGACCCGACCCTGGGAATAAAAAAACGCGCAGCTCCGTCTGTTTGAAGATTATTTTATTGCAGCGAGGTGAGTCCTTTTACACTTCTGTTACGGTACGAAGAAGCTCCGCGAACAAACGGGGGGTTACGGAGACCGATGGAGTCGATGTTGGAAAAGTTTTAGAAGTGCGTGTCTCCCTCTTCGGAGAGTGTGTGTGCGAGTGTGTGTGAGAGGGAGAGAGAGTTTGGAGAGCTGAGCGCTGACGCCGGCAGTCTGGGCCACTTGGCCAGCGCAGAGGAAAAAGGAAAACTGCTTCAGTGCTGCGGAGGAGGGGGGGAGAGAACCGAAACTTTTCAGCTCGTTTTCCCCTTTATTCTCAAACAACCCGTGGGGGGAAAACGCTCAGCAGCGAGGACTAGTCGTTCACATTTTTAGCCGTGCGCTCGCGTCGCTGCGCCGTTGGAGTCTCCTCTTTGTGGTCCCGATTTCTCAGCTTTCACGAAAGAATGTGTTTTTGTCTCCGAGGACTTCAGATGGAGTGAGTGCGCAACAGGGGAAAAACCTCCTCTCTCCTCTATATCTCTGCGATAAACTCCTGTTTTTTCGCTGCCACTTGTGTGGAAATGTTCGCTTGTGTTGTAGCTGCGCAAAATCAGGAAACGAGCACTTTTTACAGCTGGAAAATAACTTTGGAATGGAAGATGCTGAGGCAGTCAGATTTGACAGAGGGGGTTGCGAAATCATTGAATTGCCTCTATAGGGGGTTAGTGCTGTGGATAACTGTTGAGGAACAGTGGAGGGGCTGTTTTAGTGCAACTTTCCACAGAGTTTGTGTGTGTGCGGGTGCAAAAACGCAGGAAAAAAGGGCTTTTGGAGGAGAAAAAAATCTCAACTCCAGCATATCCTAGCATTCCTTCCAGCCAGTCTCTCTCTCTCTCTCTCTCTCTCTCTCTCTCTCTCTCAGAAACGACTACGTGTCTGTCTGTGCAAGTAAGACAGACCTCTCTCTCTCTCTCTCTCTCTCTCCCTCTCCCTCTCCCCCCCTCTCTCCCTCTCTCTCTCCCTGATGCAGACGTGGAAATCAAACATTGGGCTCTTCTCTTTGCCTGAAACGATCGATTATCTCTGCCTTCCACGTACACCAATATCACAAAAAAACACACATAAACCGTGCAAGGATCGTTCAGAGTCATCAGAGAGGAGGAGGAGGAAGAGGAGAGGAGGGGGGGGGACATGTGGCAGCAACAGGGTGGAAAAGTAAAAAATGCAAAAAGCTGGCTGTGGATGTTAAATTTGGTGATTCTGCAATCCTAGTGGGATATGCAAGGGGGGTTATTGTCATGCAGAGTAGTGGTGGGGGTGCTGGGTGGATAATTGGGGCTATGATTTGGGAATCACATGCCCCCCTGCTGTGGGGGAATATAGGCTACAGGAAAACACTCACACACACACATGCACACTTACACTTTTTCTTCATGGGTGAGAGAAAGAGGAGAGGGGGGGAAATATGATCCCAAATACATGACGTCAGATGAAATTCCTGCAGTGAAAGGCTGATGTGGCCTTGTTATATTTCGTCTTCGATGATTTGCGACTTTTTCCTGAAGAGGTCTCGGGTGAAATGATTGGTTTAGCAGCTGGGAAAGGTGTGTTTGGTTTTCAGGTGGGAGTGCAGGAATTCTCTCCTTCTGCAGCGCATGAATGGGCAATTTATTGCGCTGCCACAAGTCAGAGGCTTCAAAGAGTTTCAGGATCAGAAGTCTGGGTCGTGGACAGTGAGTTAGGGTGAGGGGTTTGGAGATCAGGGGGTAGGTAAAGAGTGAGGCTAACTTTTTAGTAGGGTGTAAGCTTGCACATATTTACCTTCGAATTGGTGTTAAAATCTATCAAAATGTCACATTTCTCCATTTGACCCTGACTTAGATTTCAGCAGTTACTTAACTCTCCGCTTTGCAGCCTCAGGATATTTCTTTTGAGATTCTCTGGTTTCAGTCAGGGTTGTTTGTCAAGGCCTGTAGCCTCCGTCGCTGCAGAGCTGAGGACGAGAAAGAGAGATAGACAGATAGATAGAGAGAGAGAGAGTGTGTGTAACATGTGAAACGAATGCTGATTTTGCAATTGATCAGCTGGCACAAAGACATGGAAATGAGGGACCTCTTGTCTGAGCACCCGTGTTAGCCTGAAGTTCCAGGTGCGGAGCTGGGGCTCATAAAGGATTAGAGGTGCAATCAGTGTTTTTCTGTGTTTTTTCCTCCAGTCAAGCGCCGCACTCATATCCCTCTTAACAGCAGCTGAATGAGGTTTATATCACTGCACCATGTTCTCTAAGAGCCGTAAGCCTCTTTGGGTTGAACATTTATACACGATCAAGAAGGTAAACACGACTCGTAGGCGAACATTTAAAAAGTTATGCAACGCTCGTACAGAAAACTCTACAAAAGTTTCAACTGTGGTGCTTTTATTTTGAATTTTGGAGTCTGCTGGCACTGAGGAGATTGAGGAATGTGTTGCCAGAGGATGCACAACAGCGTAATGTAAGCAGAGCCTGTCACTGTACAGCAAAGTTTTTCTGTGTTAAATGTGAATATACTTCAATTATATAACAGAGCAGAAAAGCCACTGTAGGAGGCGAGCAGAAGCAGGGGAGCCATTGTTGCCGTGGCCTTTCTCTGTCTTTCCCATGAATAGGCACAGGGTTGAATAACGCTTTATATAAGTTGACCTGCGTTCTGTAACCATTACGGCTTTGTCACTCAGGTGCAAGTCGGTGTCAGGCTGTGGGATGGAAGTATGTAACTACAGCTGCTTTGTTTGAGCCCACTAAGTTTTCTTTTTTTTATTCCGCTTAAGTGCCCGAACAAAGACGGCAGGATAAAGATGAAAAATTCAGAGAGGAGAGTCAATTCAGCGTGCTTTCTCTGACAAAAATCCAGCAGCAGGTGATGATAATAATACCCGCTAACTATGACACAGAGTGACCCCCTGTTTGTTGTGATTTAGAGGAAATCATCACGCCGTTTTTATCCCAAGACAGGTTATTCTGAGTGCGGTGAGGAAGTCGTCCCCGTGTTACACGAGGACTCATCCGCGCATCCGTCTCAGTCTAATTTGGACTCTACGATTTCTCCCAGCTCAGACTCACAGTTCTGGTCAAACTGTCATGCACACCAGGTCCGAGGAGAGTCAGAAAAAAGGGGGCAGGGTGACGCTTGCCATTGTGCGTGGGTGTACGTTGTGTGTCCGATTGGTAACCTAGAACATGTTATCCGAGGGGTAGAGTTTCCCAGTAGTGCTTGTGTATCGGGGGCAGAAGCTGGAGCGGCGATAGGGTTACACAGACAAGACAAAGCAGCTGTGGAAAGTGTGTGCGAGCATGTGAGAGAAAGAGGCGAGGAGCAGGGAGAGGGATCCAGGTAGAAACTGCTGCTATTATTCCTGTTTTAGGTGTTCAGATATACAGATATGCAATTTCGTATCAAGAGTTTGACTGAATTCGATTTTGAGATGTTTAATCGCCCGTTTTTTAAAAAATATTCATAAATAAACTGTTAAATGTTAAAGTCATGCTCTAGCGTAGGGGGTAAGCCTTGTGAGGTTTAGAGGATAAGAAATGCAGCACCCTCAGCTTGTGCAGACATGATTATCCGCACATTTATCATTTGCTTTTCTCACTAAATCTGCAGCTAGTCGTCTGTAATGGTCCTCTATATATCTTCTCCTAATGTCTCGTTGAAATGATAGTTATCCTCGATCAGCCTCCTCCATTTACTTGCATTTTTTCTCTGCACTGTGGGCATAAAAACCGGCTATCAGTCATTCCATCGACTTCTTTGAAATGCAACAGGTGTGCTTCACAGAAAGGTCCATGCCTCCTTCACTGTTACTGTAGCAGAGGTGTGGCCAGGTACAGTAAAGTGAGCGCTCTGACTCCTTCTTCCTTCCTTCCTTCCTTGCTTGCTAATAGGAGGGTTCCTGATTGGTGGGTTTGGTTTGCGAAGGCGTCCCTCTTCTGCGGGGGTCAAGAGGTTGACACCTGGAGTGCAGCAGGAGGGTTTCTGCAGTTTCTCTCCCCTCTTGTTCCTTCACAGCGCAGACTGTTCGATGTTCGCCTTGACGGTTGTCAGTGTCGGTGGTTTCAGGCCGAGTCATGGAGAGCAGGGGGGTTTCTAAAGGTTAAACCACCCGAACTTTGTCTGTTTACCTCAAATGTTGATCTTCTTTACCTTAAAAATAGACTTCAAATGCATCAGTAAAGAAAAAAACTCAGATTTATTCTCCGTCAGCGAACTAATGGATTTAATAGCTAAGCTTTTAAGCCTTTTTAGAAATTAAAGGAGTGTTATTTTATTTCAAACAATCTCAATCTGGTGAGAGCAGCTGCTGGTTATCTGCTTTC